AAAGGAGTTATCACGAGATATGCTTTTGATTGTGAGAAAGGAGAGGGAGGGAGGGAGGGGGAGGAGGGGAGAGAGAGGGGGGAAGTCGCAAGAGGATGCGCAAGCCATAATAACTTAACTTAACCACAGTCACCAGTCACCAGTCACTCAAGACGTGGGTTGCCTAAGGCTTCCCCGCTTGGTAATGAGCCTTAACTTAGCACCGTACGGTAACTTAACTAACTGTACTGTACCTTAAAAAAGGAAACCAGGAACCATTCCAAGGTTCCATTTCCAACCACTCTGTCAGTGCTACATTCAGCTGAGCTATCCGCTGTCCGCTAAAGCTCCATCTGGATCTACGACCCTACGATCCGTGACGTCTATGACATGAATAGAGTCATCAGTCAGTCCTGCTTTAGGCGCCGGAATGGGGGCGTGGTGGAGGGTTCCAGTTTCAACTTTCAAGCCGCGGGTGACTTACGGAGGGGAGTACGGAGTACTCTACCTAGCACTGTACTATTTTTACCTACTTTCTGACCCCTTCGACTCCGTAGACTGGACTGGACTAACTACCGGGAACTTAACTTGAACCAGCTCCTTGGAACTTCCATCGGGGCTAGTTCCAGCTTTCCAGCTGTCCGATGGGGCGGGCTCGCATCCTGCAAATGAAGCGCGCCCGTAAGTCGCCGTACATGTCTTAGACCTGTCCATCCATCAGCTTGGCCGACCTGACCCTTTTTACGAACAAATACGGGATGGGATGGGACGATTTGCCGCATGGAGGCGACTTCCACGATTAATTCCTAAGGTGTTTGAGGCGCGAGAGAGAGCGAGAGAGAGAGAGAGAGAGAGACTCGTGTCGGTCCTATCTATATTTGTGTATATATCCTTAGGGGTCAATTTGCAGGCACCACTAATGGCAAGGGCTGGCTTGGCCTTCTTAGCATCGGCTATTATATGTGATTCGGGAGGAGATACGATTCCCAGGGCACAGGGACAAGGCTCTTGAGGAGCAGCGAGAGGAACTCACCTGTAGCAGGCTCACCCGATGACCGTCGATGAGACCATCACTATGAAATCATGGTGGCCGGTTTCTGACACTTGGTGGGGTGAGGTGCACAGCCATTGTCTCCGGTATGTAGATCCATGGCCAACCCTCCTAGACTTGGTCCTCGCAATTTTGAGCCCCTCCCTGGAGTTGCTGTCCGTAGCTGAAGGGTCACCAGCAGACTGCGGGAGCAACTGTGCAAGACTATCTTGCTGCTGGACCGAAGGCCAATGCCCCGGATTGCGGATACTAATGCAAGTCCTCCAATCTAGCCAATCGAGGCAGCCATCCCAATCTTCAACCTTAGATTACGAGATCTACACTACGAAGCCGCCAGATAAACCAAAGAAAAACAAGAGAGCAAGAAGAAAAAGCATACTTCGTTAGGGGGAATAAAAAAAACCGATGAAACCGAGAAAAGGAAGAAAAATTTTTGCTAACATCCGATCATTGAAAATCTGTTGCATTATGCTCGCACCACGACAGTCGAAGAATGACCTGCACACAGAAACGAGTTTTTGTATCGGAGTAAACACATCCACAAGCATTCCAGCATGCGTTTTCCATTTCCAACACTCCCCTCCACAACACCGCTCCGCAGCCCCTGGGCTACATTTAACGGTAACGCCAGTAGCTCTGGGTGTTCTGGAGCTTCCAGGTGTGGCGGCGGCCAGCCTTGGTGTTGTTGTAGCGGTGGCCCTTGTTGATACCACGGGACTTCTTGCCGGTGGCGGTGAGACCACGGGACTCGCGGTGCTGGGGACGGGGTCAGTACCAGACTCAAAGACTGGGGCGATGGCAGAACCAACCTTGTGGACGGGGTTGCAGATCCAGTTGATGCGGGCATCGCGGCGGATGGCCTTGTGCTGGGGGTCGACGAGGATGACCTCGAAGTACTTGTAGGTGGAGTCCTGGTTGATCCAGTAGGAGTTCAGGACGCGCAAGTTAGCGCAGCGGCGGCCAACACGCTCCTCAGCGGTAGCACGGAGAGCGCGCTGGTACTTGAGCTGGTTAACACCCTGGTTGGTGGGCTTGCCTGTACATCCCTTGAATTAGCCGTGTTCTCTCGTGGATCGAGTCGTGGGGAAAGCATACCGTAGGTGGCGCCCTTGGGGACGGGGCGCTTGCGGCCACCGCGTCTCACGCGGATACGGTAGACAACATAGCCCTGCTTGGCCTTGTAGCCGAGACGACGAGCCTTGTCGGGGCGAGAAGGACGGGAAGCACGGTGGATGGCGTTCAGTTGACGGAGCTATATTGATGCACTCTCAGCAAAGTTCAACGAGTGTATAGCAAGACACACAGAGGCTCCGGGAACCTCTCCTGGTTGTGCCACATCCATCATCCGCCGGCGATGAGAAGAAAAAATTCTTTCGGTGGGTCGTCTTTTTTCGAGCCGCCCAGCAAAAACACCGTTGAGCAAACAAGTGTATTCCTATGGCATAGCATACGAGCGAAAACCACCCTCCGGCGGGGAGATGTTAAATCATCGACATTTGGGGGGGAATTCTCACCTCCCAGCAACGGACACGCAGCAGGAAGCGGATCACGTCGGACTGCTTCTTCTTCTGGATCTCTTCCACGTACTTGAGGGCACCCATCTGGACGGTTTGGAAAAGTCGTTAGTTTTGTGGTGGATTGAATGTCGATGCGATTGTGACGGTCGCGATAGGATTGCGGGCGAGATTGGAGGCAGGAACGTACCTTGTCGGCGTGGCAGGTCGTCGATTGTCGTCGTTGTCACGAGTGAGAAGTTCGAGAAGCAAGATCTCTTCAACCGTTCAGCGACCTTGTGTGTGGGACGCTAGGAAATTAGGCGAGCCCCACCCGGGCCAATGAAGTGGTGGGTGCTGATGCAGCCTGAGGCACAAAAGAGGTCACGGGACTATTGAAATTTCAACCCAACTCAGGCAACAAGGCAGCACCTCAGGCTTCTAGGGACTTGGTGATTTGCAGTAACCACTAACTTAGGCACTGCCCTGCCTACTAACTATAAGTTAACTACATATACCTCTACCGGTCTACCTAGTACACAAACAAGGGAAATAATTTCGTTGAATAACTGATCCATTCACGAAACCCACCTAATATGGCTCTCTCTATACTCAGCCAATACTATCCGAACCATGTTCTTAACATCATAGCCTGCAATAACTAAGTGAAGTTCTAGCAAGTTGACAATTACTTAGCCGGCTAGGAGGGTCCAACAATCGCATCAATGCTCAAACTGATTTCATAACCTTTACCCCGATGAACTTTTCCCAAGTGGTCGAATCAGAGAACACTCACTGTCTACACTCAGCGTACATCGTCCCATCATCCCATGACCAGTCTAGTCTAGTTAGCCCTCCCATCTCTGCCTGATAAGCTATGCCCGCAGCCTAGATCGATTATATATTTGCCGCTTCCACCACCATTCCCTTGTAAACAGTCCACTGAGTCAAGCCACATTCCCTGAGTAGACTTAGCCATCAGATTCTGCATCGCAGCTACTACCTCGACTTGCATCCGATCCTACTATAACCACCAAGCTAACAACCACTGAATACCAACCAAGTCAAAGAAACCAATAAATATTAAGCCTCAGTTCCCAGAACAGGCTAAACGAAGACAACGGAGGAAGATATAGAAATCAATTCACAGCACCAGCTGAATCCAAGTCTGTGGCACGGTAGTCTCTTAGAAAGTGATATCCGAATCCAAGTATCCCCATCCCCATCCTGCAAAGAAAACTCCATAGTAATCATAAATCATACCCGGACACTATATAGCCAACCCCCCCCCAAAAGTGAGGGCTAATACCCCCACAAATCCCCACCCCCCTTGACCATATCATCCTCCCTCAACACATGCAACCCGGTCTCCTTTCCCTCCTTCCGCCGCTGCCGCTTCGTGACCATTCGACTCGGCGTCAGCGGCGTCACAGGCGTGAACGGCATGTAGGGGCTGTACGGGGTGGGGATGCCCGTGCGTGGGGCCCCGTGGGGTTTGACCGGCCGCTCCAGGACGGTCAGCTTGGTGGCCGGCGCACTCTGCAGCGGGTAGGCGTCGCGGAGGGGCAGGCTGCGACCGGGTCCGTCGGGGCCGCCTGCCCCTGCGGCTGTTGGGGGAAGGGGTTTGCTCAGTGTGAGTGGGGGAGGAGCGTTGCGGACTGGTCTGCGGGGGTTCGTTGCGTCGAGGGATTCGGGGGTGGTGGAGGAGAGGATTCCTCGTGGGGTGGGGAGCGGCGGAAGACCGGTCTGGGATTGCGGGAGGTCGTCTGTGTGGTATGGGTCTTGGGGCTGATACTGGTATTGGTGATACTGCTGCTCCTGCTGCGGTGGTGGGTGGGTGAATTGTCTCTGTGCGCCGGGTCTTTGTGCACCACCACCACCCCCGATATTTCTCCCCTGCGGCTGCATCTGCGCCGGCAATGGCGGAACTGGCGGCGGCGCCGGGTGATAGATCCTCGGCGTCAACGGCGAATGCGCGTACGGATCGTCCTCCTCCTCGTTCTCTCGCGCAGCATGATTCCGGGGTGAAGTGATCGGCGAGGAGATGGACATCTTTCGCAAAGGCAGCGCCAGACGCGGCGAGCGGAGGCCCAGGCCCCGTCCGCTTCCGTTGGGTCCCTTGGGAGAGGAAATAGCTGCAGCCCCGGGATTGGCGAGCGAGGTGGACGACTGGTCGCCGCTGCTTGAAAACAGCGACAATGATGATGAAATCCGCGATAGCCGGGAAGGTGTGCGAGGCGATGTTGGCGCCTGCACGGGCGCCACCGGCGGGTCGATGAATGGGTTGCTGTTCACTGTACCCGTGGGCGAGACGTTGCGGTCTTGCGGGCTGCCGCCGCCGCCGCCGTTGGCTGCCTTGATCTCGTCATGCTCCATCACGGCCGCATACAGCATCTCCAGGTCCTCCTGGGCTTTGCGGCGGTCGGAGGCGACGACGCCGTCGTCGATGGTCGCCAGGCTGATGCTGCTGCTCGGGTTGGAGAGCTGGGATTGTGACTTCTTGTGCGAGCCGCTGTGTTTGCTGAAGCTGCTCCAGGAGCGGTTGTTGCCGTGACGGGTGCCACTGTTGGTGGTATACCCGGGCATCGGAGGGATTGGGCCATGGCCGATTCCCCCGGGACTCGGGAGGTGGACACTGATCGGGGTGACGGGGCTGGGGTCCATGCTTGGGGGTGGTTTCATGGGCTGCATCATCTGGACTTGGAGGGAGTAGTTGGAGGAGAGGACGGCGCGACGTAGACGGCGTCCGACGACAAGGAGGAGGCTCAGAAGGAAGATGACGCTGAAGAGATATGCGGCGATGATCCCGCCGATTTGGACGGCGAGCAGTGGTTCGTCGAGGGTGAAGGTGGTGGTGGTGGTAGTGGTGTCTCGCTCCAAGACAGGTGATGCTGAACCAGCAGCGGTTGTTGAGTAGAAAGAGAGACAAAGAAAGAAGACGAGGCTGCCAGTACTGGAGACCATTCTTCGCCTCCTAAGTCACCCTGGACAGGAACCGAGTGTCTATTTGAATATCACAGATCAAGCGGTGGAGGGGAAGGTGATGGATCATGTATTGACCATCTTCATGTGGAGTGATGTGAAGAACGAAAAAACAAAATCGGGAACGAGGCCGCCCATCATGTTTGAGATACGACAGGGAACAGGCGATACCCTTTATTCAAAGACCGTCCCGAGTGATTGGATGTGATGGCGTGAAGAATTGGAGGAGGAGGAGCAGTGCCAAGTGGTGATGGTGATGGGGATGAGGGCAATCCCCCGCTATCGTTGGCCGCATACGCGCCCGCCCTGCAGGCCCCGGCACATTTAGTGACCAGCTAGTCACATTTCGCGCGTGAGCGGGGAACTGACTGGCCGTGATGGCCATGCAGCTAGTTTCTGTAAACTTTCAGTTGCCGTGTCGGTCTGTGCTGATGTCCTGTCATGATAAGGAACTGAAACTCTGGGTTCTATTTGGGTGGGAGACTGGGAGACGTTCAAGAGTGGAGCCCTAATCAATGATGGGCAATCGGTGAAAGCTTAGTCGGTCAAGAAGTCGCAGACTAGTCACGGCCCACGAGGGTGGAAAGGCAGCGGTATGTCTACATCCCATGGAAATATTGCGTTCGTTATGCTCTCGCGTTCCCGGTTTCATTTCTAGGTAGCTAGGTAGGTCGTAAATAGGTAGGCAAAATCTACCCTCTCGTATACATTGATCAGGTATCGTGGAGAACTCTCCTCGTGCATCGTTTCCTTTTCGAGATCGCATCCATCATGAAGCACATTGCTAGGTAGCAGGACTCTCCCATGCGTCCCGCTTGATCTTCATCAAAGCAGACTGCTTGTGCGGGAACGTCACCTCCCCTTCCTTGTAGAAGCCCGCTCGGTGTAAGTATCCGATCAGCCTATATCAATCATGTCAGCTTAATGCCTCTGTGAAGCAGGCGAGGGAACCCCTACTTTTCATTGTCCACTCTAGGCTCCAACATCACTGTCTGCGTCCGGGGATCGGCCAAGAAGCAATAATGCACCAAGGCACTCAACCAGACGGCCACACGATGCGGCCCGCGAAACTCCTGTTCACCCACCAACACATGTAGACCCCGATCATAGTTGTCCACACCCCCCGGAGCCAACGACCCCAGCCGGTCTTCCTTGACCCAGTAGATCTCGAAGTAGCCGAACGGCTTACCGTCCCAGCAACCAATAACGGGGAAACTGTGGCGACTTCGGAGATTGTTGCGCAGAAACTCCTCTTGGTGACTGACCGGGCCTGCCTCGCCCCAAGCGACGTTGACTCGCGGCTCGTTCATCCATTTGTGCAGCAATTCGACATCGGAAGGCCCTGGTACAGGGGTCACCGGTTGTTCGATGCTACTGTTAGATGAAGTGTGAGCATGCTTGGCCCCGAATTGGTCGGCCGCGGAGCTCCCCAAGTACGGTACGCGGAAGGACAGGTACTGTTGCAGGCTGGGAATGTAGCGAATATAGAACACATCCCCTTGGTGCGGGGGTTTGGGACGGATCGGATGGCGGATCCCATTGGTGAAGGTATACTGTGTCGGGGCTGGGGGGAAGTAGGTGGGGAGATGGCTGGTCGAAGCGAACGGCCCTTCGTTCGGGGTATAGTGGGCGGTCTCCTGCCCAGCCGGATTATTGAGGTACATACTCGCGCGCGACGGCGATGCGACCCGCTGGATGAAGGGCGAGCCCGATATCGCCGGCGGGATATTCATCTGGGGGGTCAGAGTGAACACGAACAGCCTGGGATCAATCTGCCAGAAGCTGCGACGGCTCACGAACATGCGCGCCCACGCCTCGGGGTTGTAGGGTTCGGTCCCGACCGACGAGTCCTCCGAGGCGATCAGACCCATGCGCTCGAGCTTCTGCAGCAATGTGCGACCCTTGAAAAACCCTTCGCGCCGGATGGAGATACGCCAGTCGCCCTGGGGCCGGCCCGTGGTGGGAGTTTTGGCGCTGGCCTCGGTGGTCAAGTAACGCTCGGGCTCGGGTTCGTGGAAGTACCACCAGAGCGTCACCCAGAGCATCATGGCGATCTGGCGCGTGGGTGAGCTGACCGGCTTGTACTCGCTGCTGGGCGGATCGACAATGTATGAGATGTAGAGCGAGTCATTGCGCAGGGTAGGGGTAGTAAATCGGGTGTTCACCAGCTCCTCTGACGATTGTCGATCCCGGCCGCGATGCTCCTCCGATCCATCGGTCATTGTTGAATCAGCATTCTCAACGGGTTTGCTGGTATTCAGAACGATGCTCCAACCGGGGAGGACCACATGGTGGTTCTGTTGACCATCGTTCGACTTGAAGCTAACCCCGCCAAAGACGGGTGACACGGTGAAGGTCTGCCCGTTGGGCAGGTGGCACATGCGATTGCGCATCTTGAAAAGCCAAAGCCCGTAGGAAACAGCGACCTACATACAGTGGGATGAAGAAGATATGAGTCAAGAAATAAGGAACGAGAAGGAAGGGGATTTTTTAAAAAGTAAATAAAATACAAGCACGAGACTGAGGGGAAACTAAGGCGGACAGACGGTGGGATGATGCGTCGCTGCCCCTCCTCTCCCCCCGCTGGCGATCGCGCCGTCGGTGAACGGCCGCTATCAGGCTCGCAGTCGTGTCTTGGCCCCAACACTGCGATTCCCAATCAGGGTTGCTGGCAATCGCTCTGCGACATGGTCCAGCCTGGAGAGAAGACGCCGTGCATTAGAATACACGGCAGTGAAGGATCAAGTCGAGTTGTGACGATGAATTGAAGCCGGAAAGGGCGAAGAGAGGGAAAGAGAGAGGATGTCTCGCGGAGAAAGAGTTGAGACGATAAGAAACGACGAGGTTGGTTGATGTCATCAGCGGGATTACAGCCTTCGTTCCAAATTACCGCCCACGGCTCCAAAATTACGGCTCTAACCGCATTGACCAGCCAAATGGAGGTCTGTGTCGCCCTCCCGCCGTATGACAAGCAGCGCATTACCAATCTTCTCCTCCATCTATCCACTCCCTGTCTGGATATCAGTGCTTCACTCAAGTATTGCCCTGTAAAGAGCCTAAAGAGCCTAAAAAAGTCTGCTCTGCAAGGAACTGGCCAGTAGAACACATGGTATTGTCAGCATGAAAGTATAATCGCTACCTACTGATTAATAATATGAAACAGAGAAGGGGAGACAAGACCAAGGTCTCGCAAAGTAATGCCCAAGAAGTATAAGTCCCGAATACCTTCGGAGGAGTCAAGGTCACCCATGCCGAACCAAAGTAGTAGCCAGGCTGACTCAAGACAGCTAACCTAAGAAAGACAAAAAAAAAGGAGGAAAATAGACAAACAGCAAACCAAGTCATCATTGGATATCATTTCGCTAGAATTCCGCAATCGTCGTACCAATATTCTTTTCACGTGCCAATTGGATCAAATCTCCACCAGTCACCAAGTCCATCAATCCCATCCCCACACTCTTGAAGATCACATTGCCCCGTTCTACCCACTCGCGCAGACTCTTGTGATCGTCACTGTCAGCGTCCCCATGCGAGGATTCGCGCACAATCAACAGTTCGCCCAGTTCGACCACCTGGTGCGGCTTGATCCCCGCTTGGACAATCTCGCCTGCCTCCTTGAGGGCGGCGTCAAGACTGTCCACTACCACTACGCCGCTGCGCTTGATGTGTTTGTGGAAGTGACGATGGCCCGGAGTGTGCACGCTCACCTCGTCGCGGAGCAGATCCGGCGGAAGTTCCGTCATGTGTGGTTTGTACGATCCAATCGCGCTGATCAGACGACCCTTCTGGCGGCCTTCACGGGCCGTCAAGATCTCGGCGGGGAACAGCGGATCAACGGCCGGGGTGCAGCAGAAGATCGCGTCGGCTTTCCGCAACGCGTCATGCAGGATGCGGGGATACTCCACAAAGTCGGAGCTGACGGCGGAGAATTTCACATCCCCGCGCCAGCTCGAGTTTTCCGGGGAGTAGATGTCCCGGAGCAACTGCGCCGCTCGGTCAAACGATCGGTTGATGATGTAGACCCGCTTGACGTCCGCGCTACGGAGGACCAGCGCTAGCCGGATGTGCCAGTATGCCTGCTTCCCCGCCCCGAACACCACAATGGTGCGCACCCGCTTGCGCTTGTTGAGCGTCATGAGGGAGGTCAGAGCGGTCCGGAAGGGCGTCAATTCGTGTGCGTTGATCAATCCGAAGGGCAGGCTGTTGCCGTCCAGCAGCGTGACGCTTCCCTGGGGCGAGGTATCCCGACTGCCAGCACTGGGCCAGGCCCCCATCGTCTTCGATAAGCCGCCTGCGACTGGTTGTTGGTTGACGCAGCCCGCCGCCAGCGACTTGCTGCTGCTACTGCCACTGCCACTGCCACCACTGCTCGTCATGGTCAGGGAGTTGCTGGTTGAGGTGCCTTCTTGCGAGGAGAGGGAGAGTTCGCTGACGTCGGAGGCGATCGAGGCCATGGATTTGCGCTTGTCGATTTGAGAAACGCCGGTTCGGTCGCTCGGGGAAATCTTCGAGGCAGCATCGACAGTACAGCCCACCTGGGAATTCTTGTCTTGTAGCGAAATCACCTTCATTCCTAGCGTGGGGCCCGTGCTTGCGGGCATGAACACGGTGGTGCAGCCATCGGGCCGAGTGATAGCCGTGCGTTGAGGTTGGTAAGTGGCGGCACACCCTTTCTCTTGACTGCCGGTCGAATAGTCACGAAGCGCACGGGCAAGGTTCTCCTGGAGGGAGACAATCTGATCGCGGGAGAGCGAGAGGAGGAGAGAACGGAGTTGCTCTTGGGAGAGGATGGTGAGGGGCATAGTGAGTGTGAGTCAAGAATGTCGTTTGATAAGATAAGGCGTCTTCGGTCGAGAAAGCGAGAACAAAGGAAGGGAGGAGAAGGAGAGGGGGGGGCGAGGGGAAGTTGGAGAAAGGAGAAAAGAGAGATGAAGAGTTGGGCTTATAGTTATGGATGGAGTAAATAGTTTGGGGGGATTATGGTAGAGAGGGGGAGTGAG